AGTTAACCATCAAGTGCATAAAGAGGAACAAATTGAACCAACAACATGGAATTTTTTTCAGTAAATATAACATATTTTGAATCAGTCATCATAATGGGGGTCAAATTATAAGAATTTTCAGGGAAATTTTGACTCACAAAGGTATAATTTTTGTCAATAATAATACATTTTATTGAATCATGGGTTACACTTTATTTCGATAGTGCACTTTAGACATTCTACTACATGTCAACTAACTATTTTAGGTTAGGGTTAGTAGAAAAAGTTGACATGTACTTGCAAAGTTACTTACACTCAGAATGTTTGTTGGGAGACCATTCAAATAAAGTGTTAGCAGATATTAAAGGTGCTCTAAGCGATGTCATGCATTTAGGCCAAAACATTTTTTGTCACATACAGCAAACATCTCCTCACTATCCGCTAGCTGCCTGTCTCCTGAACACACTGTAAAAAAAACACGGTCTCTGTAGACAGCCCAGGCTCCACAAAGGGCAACAAAAACAAACTGGGCCAACCCGCACCACGAAACATAACAAACAGTGTTCCAGCCAATAACCGACAAGAATGATTTGGGGGTGGGGTTTGGGGGGTTAGTGCGCGGATGAGGAGAAGGGAGGGTTTAGCTAGCCTCTGTTTTGTTTGACAATACTTCGAACGTCAACAAGAAGTGACGTAACCCAACATCTCTTAGAGCACCTTTAAGCAGACAGTCTACTAATACCCTAATGACTAATACTTGACAAAGTTACTTATAGTTAATAGAATGTCCAAAGTGGACTATCAAATTGAAGTGGTACCGATTATTTTGGTTATTTTGTGATTTTGGTTTATGACTGTCAGTTTTATATTTTGTTTACACACACACACACACAAAAAAAATGTATGTTTGTAAAAGGATCAAAATATATGATACAGTAATTATTAGTCAATTTTTTTTCCTTTATCATAGTGATTTAGGCCGGTTTCATACCTACACTCACTGGCCACTTTATTAGGTAGACCTTGCTAGTACCAGGTTGGACCCCCTTTTGCCTTCAGAACTGCCTTAATTCTTCATGGCATTGATTCAACAAGGTGCTGGAAACATTCCTCAGATATTTTACTCCATATTGACAAGAAGCATCACTCAGTTTCTGCAGATTTGTCTGCTTCACATCCATGATGTGAATCTCCAGTTCCGCCACATCCCAAAGGTGCTCTATTGGATTGAGATCTGGTGACTGTGGAGGCCATTTGAATTTAGTGAACTCATTGTCATGTTCAAGAAACCAGTTTGAGGTGATTTGAGCTTTGTGACATGCTGCATTATCCTGCTGGAAGTAGCCATCAAAGATGGGAACACTGTGGCCATAAAGGAATCATAGACTGTAAAAAAAGATGGACGATGCACCTTACTTTCTTCCATTGCGCTGACATCTTGCGCTGATTTGGGACCTGATTCTGCACAGTAGTGAGCGTGACTGTATCAAGGCCCCATCCACACTCCCGCAGAATCGGTTAGTACAGTTTACTGCAGAACAACTCGTTATGTTGGTGTGAAATAAACAGTTATGGAAATGTAGAAATTAAAGTTGAAGCTCCAATCTCCTCCCGAAAATACCCCTAAAAGTCCGTTGGTGCCTCAGTGACTACTTCACTCAGAGAAGCTGTCAATTACTGCTGTCAATCATGACGTCACACTCACGTTTTTATAGCATTAAATAAATAAGTCCAAACTTATTTAAAAAAACGAATAGTTAAACTTACATTAGCGTGATAAAAACTACCTATAAAATGACAGAAAACATCTTTGGAAAAATGTATTTGAAGTGTGTAATTTGGTTGTTTAGTTTGCCTAACGTCCCATTAGACTACATGGAGAGGGCGGGGTTTTTGACCTATACTGAGACCAACCACATGGGGGGCGATCGAGACGCTTTGGTCAGCATTAATACTCAGGTAGGCTGTGGCATTTAAACAATGCTCAATTGGTACTAAGGGGCACAAAGTGGGCCAAGAAAATATCCCTACATCATTACACCACCACCACCAGCCTGAACCGTTGATGCAAGGCAGCAGTTTCTGAAATACTCAGACCAGCCCGTCTGGCAACAACAACTATGTCCAAAGTCACTTAAATTAACATTCCCCATTTTGATGTTCAGTTTGAAATTCACATCATCTTGAACATGTCTAAATACATTGAGTTGCTGCCATGTGATTGGCAAAACCATTAAATCCAGTATGGGTAATTTTGACTCCCTTCATACATTCATGAACTCTTTAGGTCATGCGTTTTAAAGGTGACCTATAATTTAAAATTGAATTTACCTTGGTATAGTCAAATAACAAGAGTTCAGTGCATGGACATGACATAGAGTGAATCTCAAACTGGACTGTTTTCGCGTTCTCATTTAATTCACGTTTATGAAAAACACCCCTGAAAAACGGTCGGTTCTCCACACAATACCGACTGTGACGCAATAGTCGGGATCATTAATATGTACGCCTCCAAATATTTGCATAATGCCAGCCCTCAATGCCAGGCGGAACTGCGCAGCCGAAGCATGGCAGTTGCTCAGTGTGGATGTACACATGAACACAAAAGTATTTTTTTAGTTCCTTCATCTGAGCCTTTGAAGAAACAATGGGTTAATTTTATTTTCTCTGGAAATTTCCAAACATTTCACCGAGTGTTTCCTCAACTTGGGCCAATACAGAGCTGGCCTCGGATCGAGCTACCAAGCAACACGTTCAAGTTCAGACAGGTAATCTTTCTCTCAAAATCGTTCAATACTGTTTATGTATCATCAGTAAGTCAAACCAGTGACTAAAATATCAGCTTCACATCGTTTCTTTTAGTAGGATGAAAATGATCGTATTTAAATTGTGAACAAATTATATACAGAAAGCGATCAGAGAACAATCTTTCCACACAGCGTGAGTTTATCTGGACACTTGCCAAACTCGTTATGAAATCAATGACGCACGTTACTGCACAACGAAGCTCTTACTGTATTTACATCATCGTGTTTGCATTGGTGAAAGCAGAGAGAGTGCAGAAACTGCTTTGCAATGATAAGATCTTCATTCTCGCGATCAACACACTGTCATCTGCTCAATGCTCATCACGGCAACATTTTATGTGATGGGAATATATCTAAATACTTCTAAATAAACTAAATAAACATATCACGATTCGTTAATCTCGATAGCTGTTATAGTAAAAACGTATAATAGCAGTAGTAAAAGTATTCGGGAGAGAGTTTCACATGTAATGCGTAGCTATTTCATATGCAAGCATGTCAGCCAATCACAGGAGTGGCCGCGGTTACACTGAATCCCACAGCAGACACGCCCCTTCAAACAGTGTTCAAATCAGAGGCTAAAAGCAGGCTAGGAAAAATGCCATTTATTTCTAAATTATGATTATTTTTTATCTAAAAAACATACTAACATTATAAGGGTAACCCAGGAAACATTATAAAATAATTAAAAAAAAACATTCTAGGGCACCTTTAAGGTAGAAGACTGTTTTGAATAATTTTTCCCTTACAGTAATTTTTATTCTATAACACGCCGGTTACAGTTCAGATTACAATTTACCAAATAATCAGTGTGTGTGTGTAAAGCTCAATGGTGTCCTGCTACTGATTGAGACTGCAATTAGCTTCCTCCGTAGTGTGGGTGGTTAAATCCATACACAGCACCCCTCCGTCTGCATCACTCTGATTCTGTGAGTGCTTTTATCAGCTTTATTGCGCGAGTACTGTTTCCTCAGCCTATCAGCTTGAGCCATATGGGCTTTGTCTTTGCAGCTCTCTCTCCGTCATTTTTACTGTAGGTGTTTTTAGACAGCTAAGTGGGTCTGTAGTGAAAACAATTATATGAAGATGCTCTCTCGCTCTGCAAGCACTTTTGGGGCTCTTCCAATAGTCGGCTCTGATATTTGGCTCTCTACCCTCCAGACTAGTTGCCCTCAGAATCCCTCTCTCATTGTCTGTGTAAGGTTGCTTTGACTTCCTCGATGTGTCGTTACAGTGAGTAATTGTTCCTTTTGGAGCCCAGTTGGATACATTGTCTGATTGATATGTACTCCAATGTACAGTCACAAACATAATAACTTTTTTCCATGTCAACTGGCTGCACCTAACAGGAGGTCTGTGAAGTCTAAATGGTACACCGTAGTGTAATAGCTGTGATGGCTGAGGCGTTCGTGTTAATATTTGTGTCCAATAGCACTACAGAGATAGACAGAATAGCAATTTAGAAAAAGAGAAGATTGCTGATTTGTTGAGTGGAAATGCAGAATAGAGCTCTCTTTTTAAAGCAGCATCAAACCCAATGTTTACTTTACCATAATCCAGTGAGTGAAATAAGTGACAGATTTTTCTGACGTGTTCGCTCGACAAAGCCCCTCTGAGCCACATAATTTTTGACACCATGATGAACCGATGAGTGTAGAAATCAGAGAGATACTTGAGACAGATATTAGAGTCCCAGCAGATGTGAAGATGCGCCTTCAGAACATGGGTGGAATCCTGAGTGAAAGTGTCGCTGAGCAACATATAGGTGGTTCTCAGTCCTGGTCCTGGAGCTGCACTAATGCTGATTTAATTTAAAAAATGATATTTATATTTTATAATTATAATTATATTATTGAAGATATATACATGGAGTGTTTTTATTTTGTTGTATGTTACTTAATGTTTATATCATTATTTTAGTGTAATGTATGTTGCCTTTTCATTGTACCATCTATGTTATTACTGCATTTTACAGTAACAAACCAATTTTAACAATTCAAATATATTAACATTATATGATTTAATAACATAGGCAGTTATTAATATTTTTTCTACCTTTTTTTACAGGTCACAAATCAATGCTAGACGTGGATCTAATGATTTACATTTACTGACCACAATATAAATCAATCTGGAAGCACACGCAAATGCACCGTGTGGAAGGGAAGGGAGAGGAGAGGAGAGGACAGGACAGGACAGCCTGCACACAAACTCTGTTCATCTTTGTCAAGGACAATTCATCTAAACGGATGAGCTCAGACAAGTCGGCTGGCTGTTTCCACTCGTCGGTTTTTTGCGGCGGGGCTTTTGATTGGCTGATTGTATTATTGTATGCAAATCTGGTCGGGGTTGCAGCCAGTTAGGTGAAAGGCTCACGCTGGTGTGGCTCTCGAGACCCGAAGCGCGAGGTAAAGCCGCTTTCTGTGGAGCTGTCCACTCCAGGAGGTGCTGAAACCAGGATTTTCACGTCAACCGACAGTTGGAGGGAATGCACTAACTCCGAGGACGCTTTACAGCAAAACCAAAACGGGATTGGATTTACTTCGCAGTTAACATTATAGCTCAAAACTCTATCGGAAATATCTTTCTGGATGACTTGTAGTTGGATTCACAGGTATGTTTTCTTCTTTCTATGATGTAGGCTACTACAAATCCTGTTGTGTTTTAAGATCAAGCCTCAGGTTCGTGGATACAGCACGGATGAATTTTAGTGTGATCTAAACGCATTCACTATATTATTTGTGCTCCCTTTTAGACTGCTGTTTTTCAAAGGGATTTAATAGAGGGGCACTGTGGAAACCACTTTCGCTGTAGAGTGTGAATAATTTAGCATATTGTGCAGTGACATTCAGCGTAGCGGGCACAACTGACTGAATACCAGTAGCCGTGCTTGATGGAGGGTGATGAAGTTAGACGAGCTTTTTCCAGCAGCCGTTATCGGGGACAAGTTCACTCGTCGGTCGATCCGATGTCATGCTCCCTCAAACGGTGCTGCGATATTCCTCAAATGAATAAAGTAAATGTTAAGCGATCGTACAGGACCCTGGGCAAAGCTCGTGGCCGTTTAATTTAGCCGCAGGGTACTTAGCAAGTTGTTTTTCTTAGCACGCAAATCCCTGAGTGACACCGTGCGCGCGCGGGGGATTATACTCTTGTTTGCCTCGTGCAGATTCAATCTGGCGTGTGTGTATGGCGATCGCTGGTAATTGACGTGGCTGGCTGGAGACGGGCGACAAATTGGTGTCTGTAGTGCAATTATACGGAGCCGTTCATATAGGACGTGTTCTTGCGTTCAAAAACAGATCGAAGTGGCGCATCGCAATAGAGCACAGGGCTCTCCAGACGCTTTTTAAGTAGTTTAACTGTTATAACTTGACAGCAGGATGAGATGCAGCGAACAAAGACGCTGTTTAACGCAGCCTGTGTGTACATAAATCGACTGTTTGAAAACAGCGAGGATTTAATACAAGAACGCGTCCTGTGTAAACGGTTCAAGCGTTTTTATAAGCGTTCAGATTCGAATTATGTTACATATGTGACCATACTTTATTTGGATGCATCATGCAGCCATAAATTATGACAAATCAGTAGGCTATATGATCATTTTTACAGTTATTTATAATGTCCATTCTAACCAACATCCAGATTGTTGTGGTTTGCACTTGAGATATTACAATAAACTTTATGTAGATTATAAATTAATTAAAAATCATTGTACATATTGTTGTTCAGATTGTGTGTGGCACTCATAGATCACATTAGCAGCATCTAATAATCCTGATAATTTGGTTGACACCAAATAACATAACCAAAACTTCCAAAAACATTTGAATGTGATGTCCGTTAGAATGGACACTGGGTCTAAATGGGTTAAACATGACATGCATCACTGTAAGATATGTATCAGCATGTTCACAAGGTAGATATAGATTTTTTAAAATGGCCTATTTTCTAATCGAAACTGGTTATCGATCAATAGTTCTTGTCTTCTTCAAAGTTGATAGGTTGTAGGTGTCATTTTAAAATAGTATTTCATTTATTGCTGCAACATTAGACAACAACACCTCAAGAGACAGCATTTTAGATTTGAACCCAAGTTGTCACCATTTAGCCTGTGCCATATTCTCAAGCTCTCCAGTTTTGTTATTACCTGTTGGCTTTGCAAGGAATATTTTGATTTTGTCCTTGAATTCGCAGTCAAGCATTGACATCTGCTCTTGTAAGCTTCTGTTTGGAGCCAGTGCTTTCTGTACACTGTTTGACTTCAGTTTATTTTATAAAGTGAAAGGTATAACTGCTAAACTTGACTTTAGATTATAAAAAAAATCACAGAAAAGAGTAAAAACAGAAAGGTGGTCGGAAATGCACGGCACCACCTTCTCAGCGTATGACTGATGAGGCTCATAGTTAATGTATGAGAATTCAGTGAGGGTCAGCTACTGTATGAGCTCCCATTGCTTTTCTGCTCGAGTGATTCTAATGCACACCAAATTCTCCATCAAACAAGTATAGGTGCAATCCTGGCACTTTTTCTATAGTGCTTAGTAGCGAAGGATGCATTGAAGACAAAGGCTCTAGGGAACTCACACAGTGCAGAAAGCGAGAGGAACAAAATTTCCTTCTCCCACAAGATGCAAACATGCAAACTTGCACATATAGACAGACACAAGAATGAAGCCTCAGATCTGACAAACACATATTAAAGAGCACTGAGTAGGCCATTAAATGTGCTTCCAAAGTAGATGTCCCTCAAAAAATCTGTAAGAAACGATGAAACCTAGCCGGAGAGATTGAGGGAAAAAAAACATTCATTGGAAATATATCAATTTACATCGGCAGAAGGGAAAATCTACTGCAAGTACATCCTCCGCACTCGATCGTCCCGTAATACTGTACAGGAGACCACATTATCCTTCCTCATTCTGTAGCAAGACCTCACCCTCTCACTTTTCTCCAACTCTCCACTTTTAGAGTTTCACCCAATTATTATAAATGTTTCAGCAGCAAGTAGAAGAGCTGCTGTAATTCTGTGCTGTGCACTGATGTGAGAAACGCTGCTCACAGTGGAAATAAATGTTGGCACCATTACGCATGAGAGTGGTTTTGCATGCGAGATGGGAGGGCTTCCGATATATCATCTGAAACAGGAAACTACTTAAAGGGACAGTTTACCTAGAAATTAAAAGATTACTCACCCTCATGTTGTTCCAAACCTGAATGACTTTCTTCAGAAGAAGATTTTGCTAAATGTTTTTTGTCCGTATAAACAAAACTATTTGGACCTCCCCAACATTCTTTAAAATATCTTATTTTGTGTTCCTCTGAAGAAAGTGTAACACCGTGAGCCCTATCATACAACCGGGGCAATGCAGCGCCAGGCACAACACAAGTTTTTTTTTGCTATTTCAGCCCAACGCAGTTATCATTTTCACGTCCTTCGCCACGTTGTTTAAATAGTAAATGCATTTGCGCCTATTTGTGCGCCCATGGGCTGCTGGTCTGAAAACGAGGTGTGTTCAGGCGCATCGTTGGCGCGTTGCTATTTTGAGGCAACTAAAATAGACTGTGCCATTGACCAACAAAAACCTGGTCTAAAGTCAATGGCGCAGTAATTTCTTTGTTATTTAAAGAGTGCATTAGTAATGTGCGCCTATAGGCGGGTCCACAACGAGCGTACACTCTGCTTATTACACATGCAGGGACGCGCAGCAGCACACAAACTAGCCAAATATTAAAAAATAAAAGGATTACAATGTAAAATACGGTGGAATCTGGATTGTCCCGTAGATGGTCTGCTTGCACGCTTTAACCTCGCGCAGAGGCAGATCCGTTTCCTCTCTGGAGAAGTGTTCAGTTTTTCCGCTTGCAAATTCCGCCATGTAAATAGCGAATCCGCCATGACGCGAGCGCAACTGGCTTTTAAAGGGAATGCGAGATGACACTGATTTTTTTTTTTTTTACAAGTTACGCTCAAAACACACCCATTACTCATTAAGAGAATAGGGACGACCCTTTTAGACCATGCACCGGGCGCGCCGACCATTTTTCCTGTCGTTAAACTAGCAAAAGTGGATTCGGACACACACTAAGTGCACTTGCGCCGTGCACTTTAGACCATGATTTAGATTGTTAAAATAGGGCCCCTTGAAGGTTAGTAATTGATGGCAGAATTTTTATTTTTTTAAGTGAACTGTCTCTTTAACATGCATGCCAGTAATGAATCAGCATGAGGCATTAATCAACAGCCTTGTTTTTCATTTTCATCATCACTATCCTCTTCATCATCAGCAACATTGTCAGCCATAGCTGCATCTTCTTCATCATCATCATTATCATCACCATAATTGTCGTCCTGCTTTTCTCATTTTACGCCTTCATCACAACTCGTGGAATCGTTATTGTGTGAGCATAATAGTAGTCTAAGATTTGCAGTTGTTTACTGCACTGAAAGGCACTGCACTCACACGATACAAAAAAAAATGAAGAGGGGCAATACAAACACTCTAATTGCTTTCAATAATTAATCTCCTCAAATGACTGCCTTGCCTTTTCAGCCTTGACGTGAATAGCATCACCCCGAGATACACATTCAAATAAAACACCAGCATTATTTTCACACAATGCCGCTGAGATGCATGTGCCGAGCAAACTTTGTTCCTGGCGTCTGTGGATTCCCCAGTCCATAGATATGTTCATCACAGACCTGAGTGAGTTCTACTGTTGCACTAATGAATCCTGACACTGCCCACAGATTGGACAGGTCAGTGCAATCCTCCGTGACCAGCGAATAACACAGTTCACTGCTCAGTGGACATAGAGCTGTCTCATAGACTGAGCTCACAAAAGGCCTTTCTGACTTGCTCTATGTATCCATCTAGCAGTGTGAACTTTGGGTTTAGGGCAACTTTGTTGTATTTCTGTTAGGCTAAGTTTTGATAAAAGTTATGGAACCCAGTTTAAAATCTATAGGGCAACCATCTCCATTAACTTTTAATGTTGAGTTATGGCAAATCTGTATGGCCGACTTGATTTGTGCTTGATAGGGAAGATTTGGGTTTGACAGGGCATAGTCACAACGTACTGGATCTGGCTTTGGGCTTGGAAGAAATTAATTAGATTGTACATCCGCCGTTTTGAAGTTGAATAGATTAAAGAACAAAGCCAAGCTTGGAAAAGTGATTTGAACTCGCATAGGGAAATTGTCAGGATATTTTCAGCTTGTTCTCAGGCTTGTTCCCAGATTGGTGGGCTGGCTGGCTGATCCTGCTGATGCAGTGTGTGTGTGTGTGTGTGTGTGTGTGTGTGTGTGTGTGTGTGTGTGTGTGTGTGTGTGTGTGTGTGTGTGTGTGTTTTGTGCCCACATTGCTCTAGGTGTGAGCTCTGGAGCATGTCTGCACACAGACAAAAGACCAGTCTTGTGAAGGAGAACTGGTTTTTAAACTCTGGCCAATGAGGTCATATTCTCTTGGACTGTCTTTGTGTATTATATGTGTATTTCTCTCTCTCGCTCTCGCTCTCTCTCTGTTTGTGTGTGTGTGTTGTGGGATATGCAGAGCCTCAGTATGACAGTCTGAGCTGCCTTCCTGAGCTGTCACATTATAATGGATACAGGTG